TTTATGTATTTCTTTGATTTTCTATGTAACACGGCCGTAAATAGTCAAAAGGTTGTCGTGCATTTTGCATGTCGGAATTCACAGGTTTTGTCTATGGAAGCCTATTGGGCCCTAAAATAACACCAGAATATAAAAAATTTTAGGGCACAATTTATTGGTCTACAATAGTAGTAGACCTTGCCCTCCTTTAGGAATTACAAAAGAATCAAAGTGCGACTCATTTGATTGAGGGATTCAAGGTCATGGATCAACCTTAGTCCCATCTAGAATGATCCCCAACATTTTGTGTTTTGAGTGACATTTACCTATATTTTTAGGGGTTATCCCAGAATTTTTGCTAAATCTGAGGGGGTCGGGTGGCAAATTGCAAACTAATTTGTTGTTTTTACATGGATTGTCCCACCATAAACTTTCACATTGCTGGCCTGTGTTGCCAATTTGAAGAGCCCATGATAGTGATTACTGAAATATCATAAAGAATGTAATATCCTAAATGTTTTATGTTCTGACCAATTTTGCTCTGACCCTTTATTTGTGATAGAAATCCACATTCACTCGACAAATATGAACTTGATTTACCTTATATTTTTTCCCCCTGGGAGAAAGGCAGCTCGCTTCAGGAAATCCCCAATGCATCGCTCTATGTCGTCCTCCTTAGCACCTGCATGGGTCTTCAAACATGCCCCTGAAAACGAAGACATAAACCCAATAGAACATTATATAAATGGTGGTTTACCAGTTTTGTTAACTTGTTTCCTTACGATAGAAAAATGTCAATTTTGAAGGCATAAAATGTGATTTAAAAGACAAACTTGTACTTCAAAATGGATTTAACCCTAACTAGGCTGGGACGTTAATTTCAGTCCTTAATACAGCGGGGGGGCATTATGGCCCCCCTTCAGATCTCGGCCGGCGATCGCTGCAAAAATTTGCACGATTGTAGAGTGGAAAGTGATCTACAAGACTGTATGGTTAATTTTTCCAAAATACTTTATTTTATTTTATATTGATTAACCCATTCCCTACGAGATACTGAAAATCCCATAAATTTGTACAGGGGTCACCAGGTTAAATATGATAATTTATGCATGAAATCTAAATCTTTAAATAAAGCTCTCAAAATGCTACTTTTTGGTGTCAATATTTCTTGTAGCATTCCTGACAGTTGTGCATCAAAATAATTCTGGTATAAAAATTGATTTCTTATGTTATTTATTGGTTTTATGAATTTCTTATTTTTTTGTTTTTCAACCTTTCGCTTTTGTGTTTTTTGGCAAAAATTTTCGCAGCCACTTGAAGCTTGAATATGCGAAAATTAATTAATTGCAGCTATTGAAGGACCAGAAATGGCGAAGAAGAAGCTATTTTAATCAATTTTGGTTAACTTTGAATAAATTTGCATAAATTAAAAATAATGAATTTCAAAATTCTGAATACAAGTTTTGATCTCCTAACATTGGGCTATCATATAAAACAAACAGGAACAAAATCGGACGAGAAATGAAGAAGCATTTTGAAAAAAAGTTGAACGGACAGACGGACGGACGACGGACCACGGCATAAGCTCATACTACCCATTCGGGTAGGATGAGCTAAAAGAAAATGCTATAGAAATGACACTGTATGATAATGTCCATTATTTCTATTGCAATGATCATATACTGCTACTTTTTAGCAATAGTATTTGACCATTATTTATATTCTAACGATCATATAAATTATAATGCTACAGTACTTTTTAGCAATAGTATTTGTTATTTGGAATTACATCCACAGATCATGCTTTGTTCTTCCTAAAATACATCAGGATTTCATAATGTCCTCTGGATTAGATGAAAAAAAGGGCAACAAACATTTTACGAAGAACTTACCGCTCCTTCCATTTTGACCCATGACCTGGACACCAAAGCGACTGCATCAGCTTCATCTGTAAATACCACAACTGCGTATTCACCCATCTGCAGAACAAATTTATAAGTAAATAACCAAGAAGGAACAAAGAATATTTATAGTAAAGAGACACGTTCGTCTACGCTCAAAATCTACCCCATTCCCATTTTGGCTACGATCGGTTAATTTTGTTCACTAAATAATCATTTATAAATAATAAAATATGGTTTTGATTGGCATACATAGTGCAGG